TACTGTATGAAACCGAATTCCTCATTCAAACGCTAACTTACTCCTATCGATAGCTGGCTAAAACCTCGGAACCTATTTGTACGTGATCCATCTCGTAGTTCGAGAGAAGGCAATAGGTTAGGTATTTTGCATCCACTGGCTAAACCCGGTGGGCAGACTATATTATCTAATGTACGCTAACAATCATTTTGGTTGTTTCACCGTGCTAAAACTGTCTCAAGCTGCTGGTTTGGCGAGGAGAACAACACCCTTGCTTCCTTTTTCAGTTTGATGCAATATTCTTATGGTATATTTCTGTTCGTTTTTCTGATTCCTAAACCAATAAACGCAATAACACAAATTACTCTTGATCACTCAGTTCTGTCATCTTTGGACGTATCGTTTTGGCTCCTTTGCGTCCCCTATATCACTGTTAATGAGTTGTTCTTTAAGTTCCTTTAAGTGGGACATACCAAAAACTGTTGGAAGATACCGTGTTTCCTCAGTGTGGAAAAACGGTATCATCTCACCAATTTACAAAGATGGATGCCGTAGTGACCCAGCCAACTACCGACCCGTCACTCTCCTTCCAATGTTGTTCAAAGTCATGGAATCTATTGTTGCAGATTCTGTAATGGATCATCTGGAGAAAAATGGATTACTATCCCCAGCCCAGCTCGGGTTTCGAAAAAATCGTTCATGTGCAACTAACTTGATTTTGGCTCGGGACGATTAGACTCATGCTGTAGACCAAGGCAAAGGGGTAGATGTTATTTATCTGAACTTCTCTAAAGCATTTGCTAGAATAAATCATCAAATACTGATACGGAAGCTGTATAACTATGGAATCCGTGAACTCTTACTTGGCTGGATCGAGGAGTTCCTTCGCCTACGTACCATGTCAGTTCGTGTTTCCGATTCACTTTCTGATCCAACAGATATCAACCGTGGGGTTCCACAGGGATCTTTGCTAGGCCCACGTCTTTTCCTTACCTTTATAAATGATCCTCTAGACGTCCTCGGACCACAGACTATTCTGTTTGCAGAAGATACCAAAATATGGAGGGCAATAACAAAACCAGCAGATTCATTTGATCTCCAGAACGCCCTTGACGGAGCCCACAGATGGTCTGTCTCCAATGACATTGAATTCAACGTTACCCAATGTAAAGTCTTATTACTACGTCACAATGGTTGTTTTTCCTACATTCTCGGACACTAAACTCTGCCTCATGCTCCATGCGAAAAGGATCTGGGAGTAGTCATTCGCGCAGACTTGAGTTGCTCCACGAACTGTTCGGGGGCATTATTCGTGGCGGTAAAATAGGTTGGACCGCTCAAATGTGTTTTTGGATCGTTTGAGCCGGCTTTGTTTTCACATTTGTTAGCCACACATATCCGTCCATAGACTGAGTACTCAATTCAGGCCTGGAACCCATGGCTGCAGCGAGATCGGAAGGCACCCGAGCCTCCGCAAAGAATGGCTACCAAGATGGTCAAAGGTCTACATTCCAAGACCTATGGCGAAAGATTACAGCTACTGGGGCTATACTCGTCTCAATATCGTCAAATCAAAGAGGATATGATCTTACTGTATCGGATTCTCCTACAGCCCAACTATCCATGTAGATCTCTTTTGGTTCTATTAACCAATGTTCATCTCAGAGGGCATCCACTGAAGTTGGCACTCCAAAGGAGCCATCTCGACTGCAGTTGTCATTCGTTAGCAGTCGTTTGCAGCACTTGGAACTGTCTACCACCTCACGTTGTCTGTGCGCCAACATTGGTATCTGTCAAGCGCCAGCTTGATGATGCTCTGGCAAACATTATGTTTCAACACCCAACTACATAATATATTCTCCTGTGTTCGTCAAAAACATCACATTACTATTTTACTTTCATGGACTAACTGTGATCTTGTGAATTGTGTTCCAAACCAAAGTGTAAACACCCTATGGGATTTGATAAGCGAAGTCTTTGTAAGTTTTTTCCCATAATAAAAATTCGAATTTGAATTCTTCGCCGTGCCCAGTACAACTCTCCTCTACGTTCTTTTGCTGTCCATGTTTCGCTTGGTTTAATCTTTGCAACCGGAGTTGGCTTGGCGAGTTTTGATCGTTACCCTTTTGCGGTAGCTGGTTTCACTTAAATATTCTCATCACCTCATCCACCCATTTCATTTCCTTCTCTTAGTTTACGGCGATGATCGATCGATTCAGCACGGAGGGGGCCACGCTACAGGAGTTGGAGGAGACGTTTAACAACCAAGCCTATTCAGATTACTACGTTGTCTTTCTGCGGTATGTTTTAAGACCGCTCGTTGGTCAGTGGACTAGTTTCATGACACCGGTCCGCTCATGACCAACTGTTATTCTATTGTCTCATCGTGTTTTAATCAATGTGCCTTGGCCGTCAGTGAAACGATTGCAATCACATTACCCAGTTACGGACAACTAAAGTGAAAGGCGTGTTAGATCATCTGAGCTGCAAGCACAAGTATATACCGTTTGAGTTTGGTCTATCCATGAGCAGTTGTATTTGTTCTATTCTCTATCGAAGAGTGAAGTATAACATGTCCTACATTCCCCTTCCATTTTAATAACGAAAAAATACGAAGACAATCCGGGTTCTGATTTCGTATCCAGACACCGTTCACTGAGTTCCATTTTTTGAAGCTCTGTTAAGTATTGAGGTTTTCTATTCACTTGGTTTATGATCTGTTGGTATTGATATTCCGGAAAATTTTTTTAGCTGATATCAAAAACTAGCTTATAACGCATATATGCATTGTGACAGATAACCGACATCGTGATACAGTGAGGAACAACAGAGATAATAACTTTTGTTTTTCGTTTATATACTACTGTTGTGCACAACAATCTGCTCTAAGTTGCGGTTGATCTTGTTTTCTGGTAAGGGTCTACGTTCTAGATTAAGGCCTGAGTCCGCAGTATTTGTGTGTCAACTGGTAGACTAATCTACACTCATGCCAGGCCTTCGTTTGATAGCCCTTAACCTTCCTCCATCTACTGTCTGCCTCAGCAAACATCTCAAACGAATTAGTGACATGCGTGACACATGTTTCAACCAGCGTAGTCTTTGGAGGTCAATCGGTTGCTATAATGGGCAACCACGGTGACCCACAGCTCTGCGCCCAACCTCAGCATTACTTGTTCGGTTTTCCCGCCAGACTGGAGCCATGCTGCATAGAAACTGGTGTTCGAACACCGAAAATCTCTTTTTGATCCTGCTCCTGCAATGGCCAAGTCTCTGCACCTTAAAGCAGCATAAGCCGAACCACTGCCTCGGTGGTTTTTCCAAATGGGTGCCTAAGACTTTGGGGCACGACATACTTCGCGGCAGCCCACACCTACGAAGGATTTTTTCATTGGGAACTCTAACCGGAGCCTTCGATTCAAAAGTCTGACCCACAACGCGATCAAGCATAGATTCAACGCGTGAGTGTGACCGAAGCACCCGTGTGGGATTTTCTAGGGACTGAAAGCCGCTATTAGATGGAGGAAGATAGAGATGGTGGGTCCATGAAAAGAATGTCAGTGCTCCAGACTTTGGCGAAGACTTAAGATGTGGTCGATACGACCTGGACCAGGTCTAAAGCCAACCTGGTTCTCACGTGTGCACTTTTCACAAGCGGCAGACAATCGACGAAGTATAATACCAATGAGAAGCTGAGAGACGGTGTAAATTAAGCTAATTCCTCTATGGTTTCCACAAAGGGATCTGTCACCTTTCTTGTAGATGCTTAAGTGTCGATTCATCTCGATCACTCCGATCTTGTTCCCTCTTCCACGCTGAGCCAAGGAGTTTCGTCAACTCCACAATGACGGCTAACTGTCCATCCTTAAGATCCAATGGGGAGAGCCCGTTCGGGCCGGAGGCCTTATGCCTTTTGATATAATTTACTTCCCGGTTCACCTCCATTTCAGACAGAGGACTGTTATCAACTGGGAGTATTTACCTAGTTGAACCGGGTATAGGAAAGCTGTGTATCGACAGAGGTCAACTGAACTGTGTCTTAAAATATAATATGATATATATATATGTTATATATATAATATAACATAATAATATATAATATAATATAGTATTCTGCCCAGTGGTCTAGACAGTGTTGCTGAGTGTGCATCACTGTGCCACCGGACTCCTTAATTATCTCACTTACGCCTGCTTTTCTTGGACCGGTGCTCCTACTTAATCGGAAAAGATTGCGACTATTACCGATAGCCGCAGCCTTCTCCATCTTTTTGCACTTTCCTATCAACCACTTCTCGCGGTCATTCCTCAGACTCTCGATGAGCTGGCGTTTAAGAGATTTGCGCGCTTTGTCATATTTTACACCACAAGGAATAGCTCTGTGAGCGTCCAGCAGAGAAGCCGACGTCGAGAAGATCCATCGTTTTTGCTTTGATCACGCACCATAATCTACCTTTGTTTTGATTGACATTTATATCACTTCGTTTCTTACCGTCTAGTGTTCTCTCTTTATCCTTTGACTGATGGTTATACTGCAAGACGATCAGAGAGTTCCTCTCCGAAGGTCCATTTGCAATTAACCCAGACATAATATTGTGGTCATTTGCTTCCAGTGGCTTTTCTGTGATCGTTTTCAGACATAAAGATAATCTGGCTGGTAGCAGAGCATGTGTTGACCAATGAAAGCGGCAGTCTTCAAAGAATCCTCGCCAGCGCTAGCTGGCGGCGATGTGGTCGATATGAGTCCATCACTGTTGAGGTTGGTGGTTTTTCATGTAAGACGGTGTCGTTTCCTGTGCGACGAGTTAGTGCTTGACAGGAACAGTCTGTGATCAGCGCAAATTCGGAATAGGCGATCTCCGTTGTCCATCCGGTTTACTGTGGTTGCATTTGAACCACCAAGAGGCCTTTCTCATTCGTCCGGGGACCCCATTTGTGCTTTGAAGTCTCTTGCGACCACCATGATGTCCGTTGACCAAATACTTGGGAGCAGTTGAGAGGTCGTAGAATTCATCTTTCATTTCGTACGCACTGCAATCGGTCGGTGCATACACGACTACAACGAATGAGCATTGACGCTTCGCTCTGTAGCTGTTAACTTTTACTGAACCGTCCAGATGTACAACTTGCAGTCGGCTACTAAACGAGTTCCAATCAAGAAATGAATGCTCAGTCTTGATACCAGCAACACCGAAAGCTTCGGATGCCGAATAGCCTGATATACGGAGAGTGAAATCTGAGTACGGCGTCTTATCTGGAGATCGCAAGAGGACGTTTGAAGTAGGGTCTTGTACGCGTGTTTCTCATCTACACTTTATTTTCTGCTAAACACTTTCTCCGCTCTTAAATTGCTCACTACATTTCTTACGACTACTCACATTTGCAGTATACAATAACATGAATGATGCAGGTCATGAAGTATGTTGCGACGAAGCACTAATGGTGATGAAGCGATGTCGATGAGATGAATGTCCTGCTTATTCAAGTGGAGCGTTATAGCTTTTCCGAAGTTATAGCTTCATTATTTCCTCAGATGGTACAGTATCTTTGTCCTGGGTCTTTAAGTATGTTTTCGCTAAATGCGTAGACTCAACTATTCTCTTTCTCCGAGTGATGCGCATAGCTATAATGAACTACAGGACGCTCTTTATACAACAGTATCTATTGGTTAGCTGATGAGGTACCCGCTGTGGTTTATTTTGACCCAATATTTTCTGATTATCTTCGAATTATTTTCTGTGTTCTTTTCGTTGCTTTAAATTATTACCTAAAAGTATTTTAAATGATAAATGTAGAATAACGACATATATTGCACGAAATCCCGTAATATGCCATAAGTTCTGTAATAAGCAAACCGCTGTATAGTAAGGGGAAACTAAAAATGTCCTACTATAACAACCGGACCGTCGATTTTTTTTGCGCCGTTCCGTATTTGGACGTGTGTACCTTAATCAAAATTAATCGAAGCGGCGTGAAATGTGGATCACTCTGAAGATCTAAACTGATTTTGATGTGGGTGCATCAATTCGTTGGTTTGATGAAAAAATGAATGTCTGGTAAATAATAATGAATATAACACAGAATAGCTAGCTATGGTGATAGAGTAAACTTTAATACGCAGTGAATCACAGGACAAGTCCTGCGACAGAAGCTTATACACAAGGATGCATCTCATTATATCAGCGAGGGCCACGTGGACTATTGATATGTAGTCAAACGTGTCTTTACGTTTCCGTAATTCGGCGAAAACATGCACCGCGACAACCGGTGATACTTTTATCACCACGACCGCATGCATGTCTTCAATTCAGATGTTTGGAAACATGCGATATTCAGCAAGGAGCCGAACGACAACATGCCTACATGCAACACCTTCTTTTCGCAAGACGTTTCACTTCTAATAGCAGATGACCAACTAAATGCCACGACTTTACCACCGATACCAGTTTGCCAGTCCCAAAATAGCGCAAGTGTTCCAGAGGCTTTAGAGGACAATTGAAGGCACTGTGTTTGAAAATCCTGTCGAGATACGGAACAACAAGTCAGAAGCCATGAGGTTCAAATGCGAATCCAGTTACCAGGAGAAAACAAATAGTGATGGCTTGTCTATCCAATACGTATGGTCTTTGGTTTGTGAATTCTGTAAATTCCCTTATTATTGCGTCACGTTTCAAGGTTTCCGTACTTAGCTTTCGAAATAGTGTACAATCATAATCGTTGAAGCTGTAAATCTGATTTGTTTTCTCTGTCAAGTACACGTTCTTTTGTCTGTCATTTTTGCGCTCACTCTTGTAGCTGGGATAAAGCTATCCATGCTAATGGCGCGTTACACTGTGGTGTAATCGTGACTTGGAGCTAGGTGACTAATGTGGCGATCAAGGTACTCGCTCCGTAGTGTTCTGACCTACGTCGCATCCGTGTCTAGTCTCTCTCCCTCTCTCTGTGAGATCGTGCACACTTCGTTATCGGCCCAGACGTATTATAGTGTGTCTTTTGTATTCATCTTGTTGCGTGTGCTTCTTGTGAGCAATATTGTGATGCATAACTCTCGGTTGTCTGCTGACAGTTAACGTTTTCAACGTTTAGTTGAAAATTTAACTCATTCACGATGCTACAAAAGCGAATAGTCACACGGGAGCCGAGATATTCTAATCCGTTTAAATGATTGCTTCGCGGAATCCTGATTTCTACACGTGTACGCCTCTTTTTTCCCCAGGTTTTGTTACCTGTGGTGTCTTATGTTGTGGTTTGTTTAGGTAGCGCGATTACTTCCTCAAATTTACCGTTCGGGTCTACTGCAAATGCTTCATTTTATTTGGTCTTATTGAACGCACACAAGACCAAAACCAATCAATCTACTGTTCGCACTGCATACTGTTTACCTTGATTCTTTTCAGTCTTTTAGTTTCTGCATTCATGCAGAAGCATGCGGTTTTTTACGCCAATTTCATCGATGAAGGTCGAACCATCAATCAGTTTTGTGAAACAGTAAGTTCATTCGGCGTAAACTCGTTTTTTCTATCGTGAACTTGATAACTACAGTGTCCGCCACTTTTGTTCAACTATATGGTGGTTTTGAGTGTCGCCGAGTTGTATCATTTCAAATCATCAGTCCCTTCGGTCCCTCACTGTATGAAAAGGTTAGAAGACATTCGGAGTAATGTAAATGTTTCATGCGGATAGAACAGTAGTTGTAAACTGGAAAATTTTGAAAGCGTTTGATTGAACTATGTTGGGTATCACCGCCCGTGTGCAGCCATTCCTGATTGGATCTTGTGCTTGTAACACAGCCTGACCATCTGTCCTACGTTAGAGGGATGATTTCGGTCCTTCTATGAGTCCATGCACCCTCAGTGCTCATGATAGCCGAGAAATTCAAAGCGGTTGAAACAGCCTAAGTCCCCCACTACTCCTGTTTGTGCTACCCAACAAACCAATAGGACTTAGGTCTAACAGCATTGAACGTTTTTTCTATTCATTAGGTCTTGTTTCAGATAAAACGCCTTTAATTCGATGCCCCAGAAGTGGAGGACAGGACGCGTAGCCTCTCCGGTTTTAATTACATTTAATGATCTTCAGTCGTCAGTTTGCAGCAGCACAAAAGGTTATGAAATGCTACTTATGGATCTTTTCCGCTCAGATACACATTCGTATTTGGAATGGGCAATCGTGCTGTAGCAGTAGGTACAGCTTAAGTAAACAATAGGGAAATAAATTGTTAACATTTGAGAGCTTTTTTTAATAATACTCAACGTCGGATTTGTTGGTTATATGATCGTTTAAATTGTACCATAAAGCATCAGTTCGTAATGGCGATAAATTTTCTGTATTTTTTCAGTGTATGCTACATATACTGTTTTTGCTACCGTTTAGATGATAGTATACTGCCTATTCCCTTTGTCTTTTTGTCAGTCTTAGCTCCAAATATACACGATTCTCAACTTTCAGAGGTTCGGGTTGTTACGGTTCACTGTGCACTAACATTTTTGATTTATTCACTCCTAAGTTGATTTTTATGCAAGTAGCCAACCTTTGCATGCTGGTGCTGTTCGAATAAATAACTGATTCGGTCAGTCTTAGCTTGTCGTTTTGAGATGCGATCACCGCATCCTCTGAGGTACCACGAAGAATAATTGTAACCATATACTAACTACTCACCAGTAGTGCACTTTTAACCTGAATACCAGACAGAGTCGCATGGACGTTGGGTTTGTTAGATACTATAACTTCAATCCTTCTAAATTCCTTCACAGGAAGTTGAGCCAATGGCCCGCGAATCAGACAATATTCATGTCGCTGCCCTTGCATTGGCCGTCGGCTTACCTATTGCTATCGAAAATTGTCAGCAATCTGGCGAGTTGAATAGAATTGAGTTTCCTGCTGAGGTGGACCATCTCTCAACCGACAAAGGTACAGAAAAGTCACAAAAAGAGGACAATCCAGCTACCGAGGCTAGTGAAGACTCCTATTCTATCCCATCCTTACCCCCAGTCACCCTACTTTATAGACCTGGTCATTATGACATTCTCTATCGAAAGTAAGGTATCAACCAAACAGTTCTGTTCAGTTTCCACTACCTTCATTATCCCTGTGGAGAAGTGTGTTCTTGTTTTACTTTAATCGATCACATACCACAATAAAGCCGAAAATAAAAAAAATAGAACGGATGTGTACAGAAAGGTTTGTTCTTTGCTGTGCGTCTTTTTTACTCCACCGGGAGTGGTCGCGCTGTACGTTCAGTAAAATTTATCTGATTGAAGGTCAATTCTCTTTTTTATACCACTGCATGAGGATGGTCATTAACGTCGGATGATATAAAATATTTCGGTGCAGTAGGTTCATAAATGCTGAAAAATTGCAGTGGATTTTCGTATTTGTATGTATTCGATGTTAATGGAATCCGCCATCACGATAAGACTGCACCTTGACGTGTTGTGATGGCTTGTGCACATTTCTAACCCAACGAGCTACACAGAATGGCTTTTTTTAAGCAAGGAGATGTTATCATGCCTGGAAGGTCAATGGGTAAAGGTCAAACGAAGTCGTCTCCAGGTTGGGGGTTCGCCCAGAATTGGTGTTTCAGATGGTATAAAAGGATGGACGACTAATCGATCCAAGTAAATGGCTATTCACCCACTGCCTTGCGGTTAGCTTCTTGTCAGAACTAAAGGCTTTGGACGAGTACTCTAATCGTTCTCCTGCTTAGTGGCTGGACACCAACAGTACCCATCCTTCAAACCACAATGCATACGCAAACTAAAGGTAATTCCATATTGCATCGGTCGTTGCGCACGATAGCCAGAACAGCGCTACCCATTGCATCGAGCGGGGTGGGTAGTGATAAGTGGGTAACTGCTCAGATATCCCAACCTCTGCTTAACTCTGTCTTCCGTACCCAGCCGTCTCCTTCTGCACCTTATTCCCTCGTTCAGTAGGTCAGCGCGGGGTGGGTGTTGATTTCATTCACGTCAGTTTTCGTTTATGTGCAGTTCGTCTCCAGGGTTGATCAGCCCCCCGAAAGGAAGCAGTATGAAAAGGTTTTTGTTCGTCATATCGGCATACGCACCCAACAACTGCGGTTCTAAAAAACAAAGGCCGCTTTCCACGACGAACTCACCGATCTCATTCGGATGAGTCGAAGTTCCGACATAATTGTACTTGCAGGTGACTTGAACGCGCATCAGAAGCTTGCCTAAATGGTATTTATGCTCTGCCCTGCCAACGAACATATAACGGCGATTGACTTCTTCAGTTCTGCGCAGACCGTTATCTGTTCCTATCCAGCACCAACTTCCAGCACAGCTCCCTGCGGACGGCAATGTAGCGGTTATTCAACTGGCAGTTTTATTTCGTTGCCTCCTGCTTTACTCTAAGTTTCCTGGTAAATCATTCTAGCTGGAAGTAATCATCAACTCACGGACCAGAAACACCTTCGCCCTACATCGGTGTGACTAGTAGCAGGACAGGTTAATTTTACAAACAGTGCTTTGTAATTGAGGACTAGCAGGACATGGTTGCACATCCATGGCATACTTATCAGAACCATCAAGATTCAGATATCAAATAGCAATGTAACCACTCGATCAGGTAGACTTATTACAAAGACCAGGCTGTCGTTATGCTTTGCCTTCTTACTTAAGGACTCTTCTCCACCAGGAAAAATCAGGTGTACCTTCAAGATTTAGCATGGATCGCCATCCTCCAAATATTTTGAGATGGTGATGTTCCAGAGCACTTTTCTTTATTAGATATGTCGCGTTTCTTAAACCGACAGTTTCGCAATGGCAGTTTTCTTTTCTTACCTCTTGTTTTCTCTAAGCTTCTT